AAGTCAACCCATCTTGCTAAAATCCAGGTGAACGATTTCCATCTTATTCCCCTTATCTGCTGGTCCAGTAACCCCCATCAAAAGGAGAAAACGAAGCTCACCTGGCAGCACATGTTCTGGACGGAGGGAGCCCTGGTGCTCCTGGTGCTCACCATCCCATGAAGTTTGCTCCCCGGCCCCTTGTGAGGTCGCAGAGTCCACATGCATCACTTTTTCGAAGCTCAGGTCACGTGTCCATCTCCAAGCCCGTGCTAACACTCCCATCTACCACAATCTTCTGAGGTCATGGACAAAGTATCAGGATGCACAGTGCCCAGGAACAAACTTCACTGAGTCCAGGTGATTCAGACCCACAGCTACGTGCTCTTACTAGCTCCTCTGTCAGCTATTCCTTCCTCTCTCCCCTATTAGCCATTCTGGTTGCAAACACCATTGTCCTTAGCAGAGAAAACAGAAGCAAAGAACGAAATGAGCAGTTCTGCCTTCTCTCCACTGTCCATGAGCATCAACCTATCCTCGCAAGCAGCACTCCTGCAGCAGGCCAGGTGTCTGGACTGATCCAAGCTAAAAAAGAAAATGTTCTTTTCATTATCCTTCTCTCTGCGCATCAGTCTCATGGAGCTCCAGCACCACGGGCACCACACCATGCTCACCCTCTATCCCTTGCTTTCTTCTTCTGGACACGGCTTCTTGAAATCTGAATTGGTTAGAGAGCTTCCTATGCATCCCCATCAGACATCTCCTTTTCCCTCTTCATCAGAACTGCCTTCAGAATTTCATTCCTGAGTGCTTTCCTCCTGGGATGACCTTCCTGGCAGAAGTTCATGCCATAGCTTCCTACCTACTCTTTCTCTGAACCTTTGAAATGTGCCCTATTAAAATCCAGAGTGCACGTTAAACTCTGTCCAGCTTTTCTCTCGTCTCTATCATGACTACTAAATGGAATGTTCACTTCTCAAGGTTCCATCATTTCAACCCCAACAACAGGGTCTTCCAATAGGTCTAGTGAGAATCGATCCACGACAGGATTTTCCCTCGTTGGTTCCACTAACTCGGAAAGGACGAATTTGTGATGAAGGCGAGTCTAGAAATCATTAGCTACTTTGCATTTAGCAGAAAAAGCACAGCCAGGAAACGTCCAGATACCTGACGCTCCCCATCATTACTCTATCGGGCCTCTGGGCTGGGCTTGTGCTCCAAACTGATTTCCCCCAGGTGAGCGAGCTGTAATACTCTCCAATGAGAGAATCACAGCTGGTTCTGCCTTCAGTGATCTTCACTCACCTGAGCTCTCTCATGCTTCCTTGCTCTGGCTCCCGGATCTCCTTCCTTGCGCAGACACCATAGGTACGTACAGCTCTATTCCAGCACTCACGCCATGCCCCCAATGACCTATCCTGTTTCTCTTGAATAAGCTATGTCACCCCAGAGCCGCATTCCTGTTAGAAGTCTCCTCTCACCAACTCTCAGTCACACCAAGGAGATCACACCTATCTTCCTCACGTTCTTCCTGCTAGCGCCCACATCCTCTAACTGTGTGTACGGGCATCTGGAACAGTGGAGTTTAGGACTGGTGACTTTCTTGGATTTCTGCCTCCTATGAACTTCAGCTGTATCTACAGCTATTCTTCCTATAATGGTAACTATTCTCCGTAGCAAGATCTGCCTTAGTGAATACCCAGAAGCAGTCTGTTCTTCCCCCTTTGATTAGATTTGTAAGTCTCCAGGCAAAGTATTCTGACCACCTTTCATCAGGTGCCAGGGAGCTGTCATTCTTCATAGTTTAAACTGTAGTCCAGGAACACAAATTCAATTCTCCAAGATCATCTTGTTAACCAGCTGGTTTCTTCCCAAATCTGCCTCTGTCTTCCAAAGCCCCTGCTGTCCTGAAAACACCACCTGGCCCTTATGATCTTGAATTTCTTGTTCAAGACTTCCAGCTCTGAGGCTTCCTAGACTGCTTCTGTTGGTACCATGTGTGTCCACAGGAATTAACAGAAGTGGAGAATAGTGACTTACCTTGATGAGCCTTGGGAGGGTCTTTGTCAAGTCTTAGATACATGCCCCGCACAAGAAGACATTTTTATCTTTACTTTTTTAGATAGTCATCGGGTAGATAACAAGAGCTAACTCAGTTCCTGGCTCCCAGGCACCCCCAGCCACACTCTCCCTTGAGCAGCTGCCTCCTGGGCCCCACACCAAGTACCTTCCTTCTGGAAGAGCCTCCCCGGGGCCCTCTTCTCCTTCCCCTTCTCTGCGTGTCTTCCTTCAGTCTTCCAGCCACCCGTCACAGGTCACAACTGTTCTCTCTTTAGATCCCTTTCCCTTCTTCATTTGCAAGCCTAAGCCTTCTGTGGCTCACAGGGCCACTTCCCTCTGCTTCAGAGCTTGCATGAGCTGTGGCATCCATAAGCCCCTGCGGTTTCTCCTCTGGGAAGACCAGCTTGCACTTGGAGTGCTCGGCTGTCCAGAAGCAGAAGCATCACACACTGCACGCAGGTCACTGCCAACCTCTCCCTGCTCTCCAAACCTGCTGGATGCTAGCTCCTCAGTCCTCATCGGGAGACCAGCCATGGCACTGCTCGTGGGCACCTCCAATGGCCTGGCGGTCACGCTTCCAGGCTGGTGAGCACTGCTGACAAACGCACCTGCCTCCTTTTACTTCCCTGACTAAGCTCTAACCCCCACCTTGCCAACTGTCTCCAGAGCTCAAGGCCTCCAAAACGTCGCCTCCACAAATCCCATCCTAGCCCTCCAAGAGCCTTCCAAACCCCTCCATGGTTCCTCGTCCTCTGCTGAGTCCTTCTCTGGATCCTTCGTCCACAGAGGTAGAGCCTTGTTCGCATGAGCTGTGGTCTAGTCATCCTGGAAGCAAAGGATAATTTACATTTAGCCCTAATGAATCTCATCCGACTGGATTTGGTCCAGCCTTCTGTTCTGTCGTCAAAATCTGTCTGGCAGGGGCAGCTAGGCGGCGCAGTGAATAGAGCTCTGGCTTTCGAGTCAGGAGGACCTGAGTTCAAATCCAGCCTCAGATGCTTAACACTTACTAGCTGTGTGACCCTGGGCAAGTCACTTAACCCCAGCTGCCTCACCAAAAAGCAAGAAAAAACAAAGAAAAAAAAATCTGCCTGGCATCCCAATGGTAGTTAGCCTGGTGGGCTCCAAGTTGTCTACAAATCTGGCAAGTATGTTATTTGTGTCTTCATCCAAATAACTGAGAAGTGTGCCCAACAGCAATGTTTGTAGCTGTCTCTGTCCCCAAAAGCACAATGCCAATGGCACTTTGTTTCAAACCTCTTTAGGACACTTCTCACGCCGCACAGTTAATCAGAGGACAGCCTGGTGGAGCAGACCCAAATCTCGGTTCTGACGCCTGCCAGCTCCGTGAACCTGGCCAAGGCAGGTACCTCCTCTACTCTCACTTTCCTCATCTCTACAAAGAAGACAAGCCCTGCAGCCCTCCATCGTGGGGCTGTCGGAGGGAAGCACTTGGTCATCCGCAAAGTGGATAAAGTTCTAGACAAATGCAGATGCTCCTCCCCATTCTCAGTGTCCCTGAACAAGGTCGAAGTTCAGCAGGGAATGGGGGCCTAACTCGCCACCTGCTCAGACACCGCCTCTGCCCCAAAGGACGCCCCTGTCCCAGAAGGCTGCCCTCGGAGTTGGAAAGGCCAAGCTCTCGTCATCTCTCTAACACATCCCAGCTGTGTGACCCTGGACAAGTCATGTAACTCTCACGGCTCCAACAACTCTAAGACTCACAGTGACCCATGAGCTGCTGATCTGCACTGGTGGAAGTTTCTCACACTGATGACCTCACAGATCCAACTGAAAAACCAAAACCTCAAGAAGTGAGGGCAAAAGGCAAGCCCTAAAGAAAGCTTCTCAGAGAAGCAGAAAGGCAGCCTCTTTTGTCATCTGCCAGGGAGAAGACCACCCCACAGGAAGCACCTCCACTGCTTCCTGGAGCGTAACCAGATTCTGTGAAAGCATCTGGCTAGAGGACATACAAGTCTGGAAAAGGCCTGGTCAAAGGCCTCATGGACCCTATGTGTATATATGTATTTGTATCTCTGACTATACACACATCATCAAACTAGAGGTGCAAACAAGTGCACGTGAAGTCTGAGGCGAAGGGTCATTGCCAGCTGGGGGATCAGGGCAGACTTCATGGAAGAGGGGGCATCTGGGACAGACTTTCAAGGACCAGTGACAGTTCATGAGGCAGAGGGAGCAGCAGAGGTGAGAAAGAGCAGGGGGAGTCTGCAGACTAGGAAGCGGTCAAAGAGAATGGGGAGGGGGTGATGGGGGACAAGGCTGAAGCACCCGCCCTCCCAAAGTGCTCCCCACCCCCACCCTACCCCGAAGGATCATCAACAGTGGGCAAAGTAAGGCGCAGCAAATGACATGGAGAGAAACAACACAGCACCCCTGCCCTCGGGAGCTTCTAATCAGGGAGGAGAGGACAGAGCACACATAGCAAGGCAACCAGACCATGACCTTCCTGGCCTGGAAAGAAGCCGCCCTACTCCCCCAGCCTACTGACCTGCAGGGTGAAGCTGCCTCAGGCCACCCTCAGAGAGGACAGCGGCCTGGCCTGTAGGCCCGAACCCTGCCTAAACCCGAGACAATGCTGCCGATGGAGATCGCAGACACCCTGGTCCATCAAACTGGCTGGCCACCAAGCTCAAACCTGGAGATCTCGGGCCACTCCAGAAAGCTCTCCAGCCCACCGAGCACACTGCAATGTGCTTCTAGGGCGCTGACCTCGGTCTCAAATAAGCAAAGATCCTCTACCAGAGGAAGCAGGTGGAGGTCAGACAGCAGAGGCCATGGACTGGGAAGGTTTCCCCGAGTACGAGAGCTACCTTCTTTAAAGGGTTAGGACTACTGCAAAAATGCATGAGGTTACAATGTTGCTTTAAAAAAGCTCACAAGACATCTGAATTCACAGGATCACAGATAAAGAGGAAATACCACCCATCTTGGGGACTCACAAGGGGTTTCCGAGGCACCACCTTTTCGTTTTCTGGGGTAGAGCCAGGCTGTAAAGAAAAAGAAAGACACAAGTGAGATGACAGCGCCACCCACTGGACACCCCAATCTGGAATATGGCGGAGCACTGCCCCACCACAGCAATCTGACCTTGTGACCCCAGGGGGTATGGGGAGGTCCACAGCTGGAGCAGCAGGGAGACAGTGTGACAAGGGGGATGGAAGGCCCAGGCTCCACCAGCCAGGAAACCCCAGGTCCAAGCCGCAGACCCCAGTCTCCTTGCTCGGTCTCACGCTCTTTCCGCCATCCCAAGATGCCTCTTTATGAAGAGCCTGAGCAAAGGCAGGGGGTCCAGGCACTCTCAGGGACAGTCACTCCGTCTGGCCCTCAGATCACGGGGTGGTCTCTTAAGCAGAGGATGCAGGGCGAGCACCAGGACGCCCTCTCTCCCTCTCTTACGTCCCTCGATTACACACCCGACCTTGAACTGTGATCACACTGGGAAGGCCAGGCTTTGGCCACAAGAGGGCCCCAGCCACCCACAGCTGCTCAGGTCTGGGGAAACGCTGGGCTTCCAGGGCACGGCACAAGGAAAACAGGAGGCCTGATGTCCACTCCAGTTCCTCACCACTCACCCTCCCTCCCCACAGTAAGGAGGAAGCGGGCTGAGCGCTCCCCAGGCTCTTCTTCCCTCCCCCACTTTCACAGTCCTTGTGATCTGTCTGCCCTGTACAGAGAGAAAGATGAGGCTCCAGGAAACCCTAAAACAGAGCAAGCAGGTTGGGCTATTCTAAGGAACCTGAGACCAGAGCAGGTCAGGATTTGGTGATTACGACAACCCAGGCTTCTTGCAGTGATCTGCAGTGGGGATGCCTCAGGAGCCAACCTCTACGCTCCAGGACCAGAGCTCTTCCTGCTGAGATGTGTCCTCCCTAAGGAGGCACCCCTTGCCATGATGGCCAGGAGCCTTAATACTGTTCTCACAGGCCCAAGGCCCGGAAGGGAGGCAGCATCATCCCAAACACAGGGCAGAGGGGCTGGGCCTGGAGCCCAGGGACCAGAGCCAGAATTCAGGCACTTCACTTCACTGCAGCCCTTTGACAGAATCCAAACTTCAAATGGTTGCACTTGAGGACCTAGATGTCCACCTGTGGCCTCGAGCCCGCAGGTTCCCCACCCCTGCCCCAGAACCAAAGCATTTCTTTTCTCAGTTCTTTCAGTGAGCTACCTGCTCAGCCCCGTTGGTTCAATGAGCATAGCTATGAAGATGATTTCTACATCTATGCACCGTCCAGACACACCCCACTAACTGCCAACTGGATATTTCAAACTGCTCACTCCAGAGGCTTCTCGTGTAGAACAGAACTCAGCAGTTTCCCCCAAATTCACCGTGCCCTTCCAGAATTCCCTGCTTCTCTTGCGGGCCCTCCCCGCCCCCACCCTCAGGGTGATCCTTCCCCCCACACTTGTTTGCTCCACACAGTCCAGCACTTGCCAAACGTTGCCATGTCTCTCGTCCGTCCCCTCCTCCTCATGCAGCCACAGCTCTAGCAGGGGACATGGGCGCTTGCCGGAACCACGTAATAACCTCCTACTTGGTCTCCCTGCCTCGAGTCTCTCCCCGCTCGATTCCATCCTCTGCTCAGCTGCCAGGGATATTCCTTGACAGGCCTGAATAGATCACGGCAGCCGGACGGTGCGAGCACCTGGCCCGAAGTCAGGAAGACCTGAGCTCAAATCCAGCCTCAGACACTAGCTGTGTGACCCTGGGCAAGTCACTTCGCCCTGTTTGCTTCAGTTTCCTCCTCTGTAAAATGAGCTGGAGAAGGAAATGGTAAACTGCTCCAGTATCTCTGCCAAGGAAACCCCAAATGGGGTCATGAGAATCAGAGAGGACCGAAACAACTGAACAGATCACTTCTCTACCTAATAAACTCCACTGTGCCCCCACTGCCCCAGGATCCAGCGTGAGCATCTCTGTTTAGCTTTTAAAGTCCTTCCTAACCGACTCCAGCCTTCACACACTCTACAATCTGGCTAAGTCAAGCCAGCAAATCCAGGCAGGCACTTATTAAACACTTACTGTGTACAAACACTGCACTAAGTAGTGGGCTTACAAATAAAGGCCGAGCCAACGCCATCCCTTCCTCAGGGAGCTTCCATTCTAGCGGGCGAAACAAGATGGAAAATCTAAGTAACGCACAAGACGCGGCCAGATGAGATGGAAGTCGATGGGGTGGCAGAGAGACACGGGCTGGCTACCGGGGCACAAAGCCTCCCGGGGTTGGCAGGCTGGGAGCCGAGTTCTGAAGGAAGTCTGGGACTCTGGAATCTCACGTGAGGTAAGGGGAAGGGAGCATTCTAGAGACAAAGCACAGAGATGGCAAATGAAGAATCATGTTGGGGGAACTATAAAAAGGCCATGTCACCAGCACGCCTAGAACGTGCTCCAACTCTTAGAAGCCCTGATTTGTCAAACTTCTGCTCAAGTGACACCACCTCCAGGAAGCCCTTCGGGATTCCATCCACCTGCTGCTGCCATCCCCTCAAAACAATGACCTATCTGTGCACATGTTGTCTCTCCCAAAAGAATGGAAGCTCTCTGAAGGCAGGGGGGCCTCCATTTTTATCTCTATATACCCAGCATCTCACAACGTTCTTGACTGCTTAATTAAGTTCCACCAACTAAAGCAGCACCACAGAACCTCAGAACTGGATAGGATCCCAGAGCCCACCCGGGCTAATCCATTTTTTGACCCCAAATGCCCTCGACAACAGTCCCAAAAAGGGAACACCCAGCCTCCAGGGAGGAGGTGCCACCACCATACGGGACAGGCCATTTCACTCTGGAGTCAGCTGTCAGCTACAAGTTCTGCTTTACATTCAGTCTAAATCTGTCTCTGTAGCTTCTACTTGCTGCCCCTAGACCTGGACCACCACCCACCTCTGAAAGAATCGCAGGATCAAAAGATCTGGGGGCACACAGTAAGAGCTTACTGAATGCCACTGATCTCCTGATTGGGCTGGAAGCATCTGATCCAAGCCCCTTCTCCCACTGAGCCAGAAAGTCAGACAAATGACTCCTCACAGCAGGGTCCCCAAGCTCTCCTCCTCCTCACCATGAAGCTGCCCCAGGGAACTGGCCTATGGGGGCCACACTGATGGACAGCAAGGCAACTAGCCCCAGGGAATCTGGGCAGAGCCACTCGGCTTCCCAATCTGCCCTCCTGCGTGGGCACAGCAGCCTGAAAAGCCGCTTCAGTGAGTGGACTTCAAGTATGCTTCCCTTACTTTTTGCAGATAATCAAAAGCTGACTGGAAGGAGTTCATGAAACAGTCCCTCATTCTGAACAACACACACCACTAGGTTCCTGGGGGGCAGGAACAGCTCTTTTTTGGTTTGTATCCCAAGCACTTTCCTTGCACAGAGTCGATGCTAACTATCTGTTGAATTGAATGTGTTCGCCTCGCCCAATCCCTCCCTTCTGTTCCCCCCCCCCCAGACTAACTCAACCCTGTCCCCACTCCTGTCCACCCCTCCCACTGCCAGTCACTTTAATCTTCCCACAGCACAGGTCCAACCCCGCCAACCCCTATTCATTAAATTCCAGTGGCTCCCTATCACCTCTGGGACCAAATAAGAAATCCTGTGTGGCATTCAAAGCCCTTCACTACCTCCTACACCTCCCGATCTTCTTGCACCATCCTCCTTCCCTGGGCATCTCCATCGCTTGTCATTCAAGCATGGAAGGAGTGCTCTAACTCTTCTCCATCTCCTGGCTCCCTGGCTTCCTCCAAGGCCCAGCTAAAATCCCACCTTTCCCAGTTCTCCTGGTGCTAGGGCCCTTCCCTCTCCTGATTCTCTCCAATTTATCCTGTCTATAGCTTGCTTGTTTACAGTCATTTTCATGTTGTCCCCCGCCCCATCAGACCATGAGTTCCTTGAGGGCAGAGACTGACTTTTGCCTTTCTTTAGTAGGTGTTTAAATGATTGACTGAGCTATCCCTCCTCCACTCGATTATAACCATAACCTAGAAACCCTTTTTCTTAAAACAAAACTGTGTGTAAGGCACTCTGAGGGAGACAAAGATGAATAACATGCTGTCTTAAATGAACTCAAGGAAACACGGGAAGACTTATGTGAACTCATGCAGAGGGAAGTCAGCAGAACCAGGAAAACAATCTACACAACGACTCTAACAGAGCAATCGGAGAGACCACTAACACAGGATACCGTGGGGCATCTCTGGGTGTCCTCCCTCCTTTCACTAATGAGGTACAGCTGTGGGTGTGCAATGTCAAATACGCAGACACCTTCAATGTGTCAGCTGATTTCACTTAACTATATATTCAAAAAAATCTTACCAGGAAAAGCTTGAGGGAGGGATGGGAAATGGAATACGACAAAGGAGTGTGATGTGTGGTATAAAAGCAAAAGTCATCAATAAACATGAATCAATAAACATTTATTAAACACCTACTATGTGCTAAGCACTGTAGCAAAAAGAGGCAAAAGACAGTCCCTGTCCTCAAGGAACTTACACTCTGATAGAAGAGACAACATGCACACAAACATGTACAAAGAAGGTATATACAGGATAAATAGGAGATAAAAATTAACAGAGGGAGGCACTGGAATTAGGAGGGGTTATGAAAGGCTTCCTGTAGAAGGTGGGATTTTAGCTGGGACTTCAAGGAGGCCGGCGAGGTCAGTGGGGCAGAGATGAGGAGGGAGAGCATTCCGGGCATGGAGAATCACTACAGACAACGTCTGGAGCTGAGAGCCAGTGTCTTGTTCATGGAAAGGCCAGGAGATGGAAGATTGAGTGTTAGGGAGTAAGGAAAAAGAAGACTGGAAAAGTAGAAGGGGGCTGTCCTCCTCCTCCAGGAGCTTCCAGTCTAGCCCAGGACACCCCAGGAGGCACTTGGACAGATTTCAGGAGGGCTGTGAACTTAGAGGGGAAACAAATTAGATTCTTATTCAATACAATTGGTTACCTCTGAAATCTCTGTATTTGATTTATGCATTCCGAGAAGAAGGCTGAAGGC